TCCTCCTCTTCCTCCTCCTCCTCCTCCTCCTCTGATTTGGTTGCTGAAAGGGTGGCCAGCCGGCAGGCCACAACACCATATTTTAGGGCAATCTCTGTCATTATCAATTTAATTTTGCTTTAATACATTGACCTCCATATGTTTCCTCTTAACTGTTGACTTCCAAACAGATTTAAGAGTTCTTTTATGACTACTCATCTGGAGGATATACACATCTGCTCTCTCCTAGATCAAAGAGAGCATGTATGAATGGCTAGAGAGCACCATTTGGATGAGCAGGTGGTCCTTGTTTAACAACCATTCGTTCAAACTTGTGACAGTGCCGAAAGAGTGGTGGTTACCACCGGACTTTTAAATTCTGATTATCGCAGTACTCCATGTTCACATGATCAAAAGTTGCAAGCTTCATTGCTGTTTTTTCACAAGTAAAGTTAATGCGGAAGCCGAATCATGAAGCGAGGACATCATTTGATTTCTGATTTCCTGCTGGCTTCCGCATTAACTTTGGTTGTGGAAAGCCGGCAATGAAGGTTGCAAATTGTGATCATGTGAACATGGAGTACTGTGATAGTCACTTAATAATGGTAACCAGTGCTGCCCAGGACTGCCATCATTAATAAGTGCTATCACATGACATCACACATTGCAACCTCATTACTTAGTGACAGAAAGTCAAAATCCCAATTATTGTGATCTCTTGCAACAAGGCTGGGGGTATTTTATTTTATTTGGGCTAATTTTTGAATGCAAGCATAGAGAGCTGCAAGGAGGAATACAAGATAGAGTCATTTTTCTCCTGTGAATTTTTTCAGGTTAGTTACTTAAGGATCCAAGCCTTAAATAATCTGACTTTATTTAAGAATTGAAGGAACAACAAGCAAACTCAAAAGATTTATTTCCTTGATTAGTAGCAGATTGCGTTTTAGGTGTTGGTTTTTAAATCAATTTGCTACCAAAGAGGCAAAAAAAAAAAAGTCCTTTAAGAATCTGAGGTGTGATTTTTAAATAGTCTGTTAAAGTACGTGCATAACTTTACAACCCATTGAAATAAATCTCTATTACAGGCTCGACAAAATTTTAGGAGCTATAACAATTGCAGCTGAGAGGAATAATGGAGAACGATTTGCTAATATAGTGGAAGGGCTCGAAAATCATGAAGCTCTGCAATTACAGGTAGGATTTCTTGGATTACAATTTAGACAATTAGATTAGGCAACAATGCATTTTAATTACTAGCCGCATCAAAAACGTTTAAAATGGCTGTAGATAATTTTTGTTTCTGGTGACCTTATTTTGGGTAGAAGTTTCAAATCCCAAGTAAATATTCATCTAAAATCTCAGTAAGAAAAGCCCGTTAATCTTCTTTTATACTCTGCATAAACACATTTGAAGCACCCGTTGCTATACATTGCAGAGCTTCACTATTGGCTGGCTTTAAAAAAAACCCACCTGTTTACGAATGCATAGAATTATAAAATAAATGCTTCTCCTTTCTCTAGGCAGGAGATGTATATTTTAGAATATACATTTTCGGTCCATGGAGACAATCTTTACATACTTTAAAATATCCTTTTGTGTAATTATTTTTTCCCCCAGAGTTTTTGTGTTTAAAGAAGACTGATAAAGGAGAATATTTTTGTAGTTCAGGGGTCCTTGGTGCTCTCTGAGCTTGGTTGTTTTCTTACAGATGTTTTGTTACCCAAACTAGGTAACATCATCAGTGCTGGAAGGGAGTGAGGTTTGTGGGGGGGAGGGGGGAGGAGGAGGAAGAAGAGGAAGGGTCCTTGGTAGTCTCTGAGTTTGGTTGTTTTCTTGCAGATGTTTTGTTACCCAAATTACCATGTGTTCCCAAAAATAAGACCATGTCTTATATTTTTTTTGCCACCAAAAAAGGCACCAGGTCTTATTTTCGGGGGATGTCATCCACTGATTAACTTCACTTGTGTGTGTCGCCCCCCTGGCCTCCTTTTTGCTGTCGGAGACCTTCAGGAACTTCTTCTGCGTCCAGCAAGGCTTTCCTGAAGGCCTCTGCAGCAGATAACAGAGCTCAGGATCGATCCAGAGCTTTGTTCTCAGCTACAGAGGCCTTCAGGAAAGCCTTGCCTGCTGCAGAAGAAATTGGCCCAGCAAGGCAGGTGTTGGGGTGTGCGAGGCTTGCTACAACTGTTCAAAGGTATGTAAGTAGTAGGGAAGCTTCATCCCCCACCCTAGCTTAATTTTTTAGCCCTGCACTCTGGAGTGGACAGGATCTTAATTAGGGCTTATTTTGGGGGGTGAGAGCTTGTATTGGGCACATGTGTAAAAATCAAGCTAGGACTTAGCTCGTACTTTTGGGGAAACAGGGTAGGTGCACTTATGACATTACCTAGTTTGGATAATGAAAGTTCTGCAAGGAAACAACCAAGTTCAGAGACCAACAATAACTTCTCATAAGGAAGGCTCACAACCCTTTTGAGTGCACTAAAGGCCATGCTTCCCCAAGACTTCAGTGCAATTATGCAATTATGAATGGAATATTACAGTAGGATATATGAATGGCAGAATTTCTGTGTTTTTTAGCTAAGACATTGTTTCCCTCTGAAGCTCTCTGGAAGCATAAAATGGAAAATAGAACTCTTTGGATGGTTAGTTACTGTTCAAAGAGCAAATCTTCTCACGTATTGTCTCTGGGACATGAATCACTACAAGCCCTGAATGAGATAAGGATTGAGTTTGTGACTTCTGTCTTGTAAGGTTAAGTCCATAAGACAAGAATTATTTCTGTAATCTTGACATGACAATATGAAAACTTGGAGTGCTACAAGGAACCAACCGTAAAGATTAGGTTCTCCAAAGGTCAGGTTATGATACAGTGATATCCCTTTTCTGTTTTGAAGGCAAGCTCTGGGATGTAATTTCTATTCATGCTTGCCCCATGGAAAAGATCTCCTTCTCTTCGAATAAATACAAAAATGGTCTGCAACCCTAAATAAAATGAACAGTAAATAAAATCAACAATAATACATAAGAGTGACATATTTGCTTTAACATCTTAAAGCAAAACAGACCCCTCAAATCTAAATGCAATAAAATGCTACACTAAATAACAGTTTAGGCTGGCCACCTTGACTAAATGAGGATTTGTTTTTAGAATTTCTACCCTTTCCCATCAGTCAATAATTTGCCATTTTTCTCCATCGAATGTTGATACACCTGTTTTTGATTTTCCCAGCGCTATACTTGAAATGCTTCCCAGTGGACGAATGTACCACCACGGTTATTATTTTCAGTTTCTCTCAAGGGTAGAAGGCTCAGAATTGATGCTAATAACTTTTATTTGAATAATAACGTCATCTTGCCAATGTCAAATACAGTATAATCACGTTCTGTTTTAATGTCTTGGTTTTGAAATGGGATCATTGATAATTTACTTAATTGGGGTTTTATTTTAGCACACAGTGCTCCCCAAACACAACAAACCCTCTGACGTGAACTCAAAAGATTTCTTTATTAGGAATGCCGGCAACCTTGGCAAAAAAGTTTTCTCTCACAGGCTTACAAGTTCCTCCAGCTTGAAGATGAATAGTTGTGTCCCACACCTATTCATCTCCACCCCCTGCCTTTGATCCCCAGAGCTAGAGTGGGGCCCCATTAGCAGCAGTGGCTTTTTCTTCCCAAGGACCGGCCCATAGATTTCCATTGCTCTCCTCTCCTCTGCCTTCTGTGCATCCACGCGTCAGGCACTGGACCCAGCTGTTCCTCTCTTCCTCATCAGCCACCTCCAGGCCTGGGGGCTGTTGACTCTCCATCTGAGGGCTGACGGACAGTCCAGGCTCCCCCCTCCCTCCCCCCCCCTCTCTCTATGCCAGCTCCATTCCCTCTTCCCCCTCAGAGCTCCCAGGTTGTCCTGATGCTGACCCAGACTCTGACGCCTCCTCCTCCTCCTCCTCTGATTCGGCTGCTGGCGGAGCCAGGGGCTGACAGGCCACAACAAGTGTCTTTAGTATGGCCTTAAGAGACAACCTATTGATCTAGATAAATAGGAAGACCCAACTTGTTTAGCTTTTACACGCAACACAGGAACATTAAAATAGAAGCAAGCGCGGATAGCATTCTGCACGCTGCCCATGTGATCCGCTCTGTTACAGTGATTCCAAAGTCACTCTCATTTAAGGACTTTCTGATTTTTTATGACTCTCACATCCATACTCCGTGACTGAAGGTACAACTGCAAGACTCATTAACTCGTCTCTAACTGAAATGGTCTCTCTACCAGTATTAATACAAGCAATTAAGTCAGAATTTCTCCTGGCAAAAACAATCACAGCAGATGGCACCTTTTCTCTCTATTAATTTCTGATTGGACATGTACTTTGGCTTCTTCAGTTATGTCATAGCTGTAACATAACAAGGATAATTCAGGCCACTACAATACAGCATTTGCAGGGATGTGTTGATTTAGAAGAATTTATAGTGTTTTATACATTAAAATTATATTCATTTTATGGATGATCAAGTTATAGATTTCAGTGCTGCAGTGCTGGTAAAATAATTTGAGGACACTTATCCATTTGAAAAAACACATCTTGAGCTTGTTGCTAAAAAAAAAAAAGGATTAATAACCTGTTCTAGCAATAGCACTTAGACTTATATACTGCTTCACAGTGCTTTACAGCCCTCTCTAAGCAGTTTACACAGTGAGCCTATTGCCCACAACAATCTGGGTCCTCAGTTGACTGACCTTGGAAGGATGGAAGGCTAACTCAACCTTGAGCCACTCAGAATTGAACTCCCAGAGTGAGCAGTGAGTCCTGCAGTTTTAACACTGTGCCACCATGGCTCTAAACACACTTTGCAGTTAATCTTTCCAGCATTCACTCTGCTTTTAATTTTTGTAAAGGTATTGACAATATGAGATCTGTTGCTCAAACAACAGCCTTCTGCTACAGGGAGTCCTCACTTACTGACCACAATAGGGATCAGCATGTGATGCAATTATTGAACGCAGTGTCACATGACCATAATATGCAACTTCCTTCTGGCTTTCCCATTGACTTTGCTTGTTGGAAACTCACAAATGGTGATCACATGGCCACAAGATGTTGCAATTGTTATTAAGTGTGCACTGATGGCCAAGCATCCAAATTGCAATCCCATGACTGCAGAAATACTGCAATTGGCTGGTCTTAAGTCTTGATTTTTGGCACCACTGTAACTTTGAACAGTCAATGAATAAATGATTGGTAAACGAGGATTGTCTATAAAGGCATTTCATTTAATGTACACTTCTTAGAGGTATGAATAAGTGGATAAGTTATGAGCCACATAATATTATATTCAAGTATAGCACTGTGTTTTTCTCTAAAATGAGTGTTTAACATAATAACAGAATAACAAAACAGAATAACAGAACAGACCTTGTAGGTCACCTAGTCCAACCCACCGCCCAAGCAGGAGATCCTATATCATTTCAGACAGATGACAGTCCAGTCTCTTCTTACCAACCTCCAATGATGGAACACTCACAATTTCTGGAGGAAAGCTTCTTCCATTGATTGATTGTTCTCACTGTCAGGAAATTTATCCTTAGTTCTAGGTTGGATCTCTCTTTGACGAGCTCCCAGCCATTGCTTCTTGTCCTGCCTTCAGGTGCTTTGGAAAATAGGTTGACTCCCACTTCTTTGTGACAGCCTCTTAGATATTGAGGCATTGCTGTCATGTCCTCTCTAGTCATTCTCTTCATTAGACTAGACATACCCAGTTCCTTCAACCGTTCTTCCTACAATTTAGCCTCCAGTTCCCTAATCAACCTTCTCCACACTCTTTCTGGTTAGTTAAAATATACATCTCTTTGTTGTTTTCTCCAATTTTATTGCACAAGTGCTTTGGGTGTGCTGATCCTAATAAGCTACATTAACTATAACTTCTATTTTCAGGTTGCCTGCATGCAGTTCATAAATGCCCTCGTCACTTCTCCAGAAGAGCTTGATTTTAGGGTACATTTGAGAAATGAATTCCTGCGCTGTGGGCTAAAGAAAATATTACCAGTAAGTTACTTGCAAAAGAAGTGCTAATGCACCAGATTCTGTAATTGCTTGCTTTGTGATTATAAATCTTACAAAAGACTTGCAAGATATGTCGAAGCTTGGCCTTAATGGTTCTTTATCATTTTTAATCATTGTGAAAGGGAAGCAGAATGCCGCAGCATTAAAAATGTTCAACAGTGAAAAATAATTTTCTTTTTATGACAAATGATCGCTTACACTCACTTTTATTGATGTGGGGAATTTTAAAGTATGTGTTGGATAGTTAATAGCGCCATGAACTTATGATAGGGAGAATCAAAGTTTAAATGAAACTTAGACTGGCTTTAAGCTTTAAATCCTGATTCCAAAATGACTTCTAAGTGTAAAGAATTGATGGCTTTTGCATTTATGGTAAACTATAACTGTTCTTCTTGTACTCACTGTTAATGTTATATGTGTGTTTATGCTTCTTTAGGTAAGAAAAGCATATTTTGTGTATCACATACTGCATATCTTAGCAGAGAAGCTCTTCATATATATATAAAAAATCCCCTTAAATTTTGAAGGAAAAAAAGAAGAAGCTATTTTCTATTTTTAAGTTGAGAAAGAACGACTGCTGAGTCCTTTTTAAGAAATGTAGTAAATGAAATATTTCTATCCAGTGCAGGAAATCAGGAGTCCAGGCAGTTCAAGTGAATATATAGGTTTATTGTATGCTAAAGTTCTTTACAAGAATCTGAACTACTAACAGTCAAAGCGAATTGGCATTAAATAAGTCAAGGTGGGCTAGACTTAGATCTCTTGTGGGTGCGAGAGGATTCGAGACAGATGATGTGTTTGATTCCTCCCTCAGGCTCAGCCTGGATATCACTTTCAATTTCACTTATTAGAAATGCACAGAAGGAATACATTATTTGCTCATATTGTTCTACTGAGGCCAGTTAGAAAAGGAACTATATAACTGTTGGTCTTCATCTAATCCTTTCAAAATTAAATTAATCAGCAGCAGCTGATTTTGATTCCCAAGCAATCTGTTGGAGAAATAAATGGGAATAAGTAGCTTGTTTGTAACATAGATGAAAAGGATTTAAGGCAAACAAAATGCCACATCATAAATTGGTTCTTAACAATGCAAATTCAATTCCTGTCCTAGAGAAAATTGACTATTTTTGAAGAATATTGGGAATGTTTCCAGAATCAAAAGACTTTGTTCTGGTCATTTGTTAACAAAGCAGTAATTTACAATATTCCAATTCCTTAGGCATAAAGCATCAATTTAAGAAGTTGGCTTGGGTAAGGCTCATTGCAGAAAGGATGGCCAGAGGATGTTGGTCTTCTGTTTAATCATGATTTAGTAGCATCTTCATTCTGGAACAATGAAGAAAACCACTTTACAAGTTATCTGAAATAAGTGGAAGAGCACCATTGAGTCGAGAATTGTTCTTCAATTGAGCAGTGTGGTTTATTTTAGCCAGCTATTTAAAAAAGCCCACATGGTTAGACTCTTCTTCTGTTAAATAGAAAAGATGATTACCTATTGGGATTAAGCCATTGTACAGAAGAATTTAAGTCCTGAATGCCTATGGGTAAAAAAGAAAAATCACATAGGTTTCATGAAAAGTGAGACCCTTATCAGATGATTTAAACCTGATAACCCATATAAAAGTCAAGGGGTGTTCCTAGATATTTATACAACTGGGTAACATCTATACCTAATTACAGGCTCTGCATTTTTTTTATATAATATGCTAGTTGTTAGTTGATTCTTAAAGGTATTAAATGGGTACAGGTGGTTGACATGGAAATCTGCAGCAATTGTGTTTGCCTCAGCAAACCCCTTTTGCATTTTATGGCATGCAGCAATAACTTTTTACAGCCCAGAACATTTCGCATTTCATCATGCAAAAGCAGTAAAAGTAATATGTTTAGCTGTGGAGATCTGAAAATGTGTCACCTCCTTTTCTTGGAGCTTTTATATAACATGTTCTTAGATCTCCAGTGAATTATTTCATTACTAAAAGCAAGAAATCCATTATTTCAATTTAATCAGCGTGCCCTTTCTTTAAAAGCCCATTTTCCTAGATCTTAAGTTGGACTTGGATTAGAGTGGCTGCAAGAGAAGTTGTTGTAGAACATCTTTTAGGTCATCTCAACTCTTGTTGAGAAGAGATGGGATGACTTGGCAAGTTGCTAGTTAATGCTGAGTACAACTTTCCTGTAAAGCTTGTAAATTCAGATTATTAAATGGTACCTTGGGAGATCAGCTTCATTCTGAAGTTCAAGTATGACACTTGGGGACTTGGGAGGAAATTTTGCCATGTGAAGGCATCCAGTTAGGATGATAGGTGTTCTATATTTCCTCAGATCATTGACTAAACTGTCAAAAATAAACATTTCCATTCTTATGCAAATGTTTCATCTTTGAAATTAACTTTTCCTCCCATTATGCTGTTTTAGAATGTTAACATATCACAAATGCTAAATAGATACATTGATACATAGATGGATGGATAAATAGATTATAGATAGGTAGATAAGATGATAGATAGATAGATAGATAGATAGATAGATAGATATCGTAGATAGATACCATAGATAGATGGATGGATGGATGGATAGATGGATAGAAAGAAAAAAATAGGTGATGGAAGGATAGACGGATGGGTAAATGAGAGATTATATACATTATAGATAATGGATATAGACAGACAGACGGACAGATGGACAGATAGATAGGAGTCTCGCTGTGGATTTTACTCTTCTAGCCATAGCCAACTTTGGGAGCAATGCTCATTTCTGTTTCAAGGCCATTTTTGTTCCAAGTAGCAAAAGGAAGTCATAGTATACTAGTTTATTTACGATAAGCCATGATTCTCAGAAATTCTGACTTCCGAACTCTTCCATTTGCTCCCTCAAAAGAAAGAGGTTGGAAAATAAATGGATTCTATGATTGCAGAGCTACATAGCGGAACAATACAATATATACTGGTAATATGGCGAGCCATAACCTCACCGCACTTTTCTTGATGATTACCATGTTGAAACATAATATGAAACATTGCTTTTCATAGCACAGCAAAACACGGTATATTGATGTAAGGTGTTTTTTTTTTTTCTGTTTGAAAGTATTCCTATTGTTTTCTCCACATTTCAAAGAGAAACAATTATGTTTTTAATTTCTGTATCTCCACAAAGTGCAGTTGACGTAACAGATTGCAAATCAAGATGGTTTTACACCTTTCCCATAATTTGGATTTTAATTTGCCCAGTGACTTAAGGTTCCAATTTTAATAAAAAAATAAAGTACACATAATGATAAAGGAAGGTAATAGTGTACTGGATGAAATCATTCATCCTGTAAATTATTACCTTCCTTTATCATTTAACGTTTAATAATTGGATAAATTTAGTAACATGGTTAACTTTGATCAATTACACAGTAGTTTTTGAGAAGAGCTATTGTGCAGCCAATTTTTTTAGCAAACCCTCATGACTGACAGATGTACAGGTTTAATTAAATCTTTTATTCTTACAACTGCAGGTTCTCTTGTTCAGGATCTCAAATCACCACAATGGCTTTTAACGAATATAATTTATGATAATAATTATACCACTTAAAAAGAAGAATTTAGGGCACATTAAAACAGAATTACCTTTCTGTGTTCAGTTGAAAGAGTGGTTGAGATTAATAAAATCTAAATATCTATAAAAGCCAAAATGGGGAGATGTTACTAATCTAATTATACATACATACATACATACATACATACATACATATATATATATATATATATATATATATATATATATATATATATAACGAACACTATACAGAACCCTGATGATGGCAGATGAGATTCTGCCGAAACGTTGCTATAACTTTAAAAGCACAACTATAATGATGTGGGAAAATATAATCTTAATATAGCTTTACTTGTCAATAGGACTATTTCAAAATTAAGTACATTTCTAATTTTAGATAGGAAAATTCTTATCCAGACCAAATTTATGGCTCTAGTAACTTACTAGAGTTCTTCGTGGGCATTTGTGATATCACATATCATCATATTCTTATAATCATTAGATGATAGTGCAGTATTTATGGTGTATTTAAAAAGTTTTTAAACAGCATAAGTTGTGATGCATTCAAAATGCTTCTTTTCCTTGCAAATAATCCTATTGTCTTTCTACCAATCCTTGAAGGAAAGGACAAGTCTCTACTGCTACATTATTTTTTTATTTGAAATATTTCTATAACATCATTTTTAAAACATTCAGTGTATGAACCTTCAAAACAATGAAACAATCACCATATTAAGGAAGCTTCTTGGATGAGAAGCGAAATGTCTTCAAAGAAAAAAAACAAGAAAGTCCAGTTGTCTCCTGAAAAAGCACTTTTGGGACGACCATGACCTGGATGATGGAGAATCTCTACAGACCTCCACCATATTAAGGCCACCTGAAGACCTGGTTTTGTCAATTGGCCTGGGGCCCCAATGGGAGTACAGCACAAAAGAGGTGGTTGATCAAGTAACAACAGATCCCATCTCCCACCACTCCACTTTCATCCTTCCCATGTGTCCTTAGGTTTTAATGTTGATTTTAATTATGTTTTTCATTGTTCATGCATCAACATATTTTTATGATTGTAAGATGACTAGAATTACCCTATGGTAAGATGGGTTGCCAATAAATTTTACAAGTAAGTAAGTAAACTAATATGGCATTATGTATCCAAACTACTTCTTGATAGGTGTCAGACCTGCCCCAACTTAGACATTTAGGAAAGAAAGACCCTTGATTCCCTTTGATTGAAGTGATAGGCTATTTTTTACTAAAGTTAAGTGACTGCAGTGAAAGTAAAGCTAGATCTGTATTTTCCCACACAAAAGTTACACTTTCTCCCCTTTCCTGGCCCTTGACCAGTCCATCGGTGACCAATAGTATGCCTTTTTGATGTTTTGGAAATGGCCGAGAAGTTTGATGCCTCTCACGGCAGTTTCACATTCAATTCCCAGGTCAGGTGTCCTTGGCAGCTGTTTTAATCTGGTTTGGCCCCTCTGGTTCTTGTCAACGTGTCTCCCCTCCTGTTGTTTGTCTTCTCATTCACAGGCCCACACATTACTGCCCCAAATTCCTCCCTCCTCCTTTGTGATTTAGGGCAGGAAGCCAGCAAAACGAAGAAGCTGAAGATAGCAGAGCTGCCAATAGGCAAATCAAAAGAACCTTACTCGATCAGTTGTTTTCTTCATGGCTAACCAGACTCCACATTATTGAGATTTTTAATGTACACTCCACGCCTCATCTTCCTGCTTCTTCTATTGCCAACTTTGAGCGTGATTATGAAGCGTTACTGGAAAGCTAGAGGATTAAAAACATCGTAGTAAAATAACTTCAAGGCAACATATTAATCCAAATGATTGCCAGTGCTATAAAAGTTTAGATGTGTGTACGTCAAGTGCACTGCAAATAAAACCCAACAGTAATATTTAAACAGTACTTGAATTTAGGCCACATTAATTTGATATAAATCCATAATTACTTGTATTAGAATTAAAAGGTATCTGGTGTGAGCTTTAAAATTCACTACCATGATACATTTTTTTAATAGCACAGTACATTAAATTAATAGAAACTGCATACACCGGTGGAAAACCTATTTTGTGATTTTTAATGATTGATATTAATGTTATGTAATTACCATTTAAGTAAATGAGGACTATATAGCTATCAGGACAGCATAATTTTATCTCCAACAATTCTCAGGTAGAGTAGAAAAACAAAACGAAAATAGGCAGCATGATTTATAGACTCTAAAATCCAAAACACTTATTTTAATTTGTAGTTCTTTTACATGTATTTATTGTTTTGCCATTTATTTAGTGGATTAATAAAGAAACACATACATTACTGTGTTGTCTCTTTGTAAGTTTGATCATTCTTTATCAATATAATTGGCTTCCTTTGTAATACAATTTATATTATTTATCTGTTACTTTAAATAATTTACATGGCTGTCCACTTCAAAAAACGTGGCACTGGATGTTTTACAAGAAAAATAAATCAAGATAAACCAATAATTAATCTCTATTTTATTTTATGCATTTATTTTTTTCCTGAGAAGATTTTACTATACGCTTTTTCTGTTGGTTTTATACATACTGTTTGTTATAAAAAGGTTACAAATTGCTGTCTTAAAAGGAAGAATTGCAGCATTAGAAATAAAGTGTTCTGCCAAAAATAATATGTCACAACAGCAAATGAACCCGAGAAATGAATTTGATATAACTGGTCCATTCGTAGAATTCAGAACATTACATGCTGTCAGTATCAATATTGTGGACAGATTTCATGTGGCAGACAATATATCACTGCTACTAAGTTGAAGCTAAAGAGACTTGAAAATAATATTCTTTGCAATTTAAGATAATAGTTGTGGTTTGAATTTATACATAAGATGCTTGGGTAAAAGAGATTATTTAATTGCTCATTTCTGGGATAGACATTCACAATTTTTATAGTGATGTTACCAGCAGTTTTACCAAGTAACATACAGGTTCCTGAGCAGTTGTGGTTGAATATATCAAGATAATAAACGTTTTAAATAATTTAATTATAACTCTGTGTCATAATGGTTAAGATGGTATTGAACCATTTACATTGGAGCAATTTTTTATTTGGTCTTGTTAAATATTTATTTGGGATGTGCATCCAAGTTATGGACTCGTTTTGTTAGATATAAAACATTGAAGATTCTGAATTGTCTGCATTTTACTACAATGGAACAGAATCACAAATGTAAATAGGATAGAAAGAATCCTAACCATATTGTTTGAAATTCAGCCAGTTTCAATTTCCATCAGACTTTGCCAGATGCAGGCAGGTACAAAGTTGAAAAATGAACGAGTGTTTAATATTTGTTTATGCTTTATGGCACCATACGTTGAGAAGATGTAATTCGTTCAAATTGCTTTATGAAATACTAGGACCTAAAAGAGAAGGAGAATGAAGAACTTGATATTCAGTTGAAAGTATTTGATGAAAACAAAGAGGAAGATTTAATTGAAATGGCCCATCGTCTCAATGACATCAAAGTGGAAATGGAATATCCTTTTTAAAAAAATAATAATAATATATATACTGTTTTTCTTAGTACTGAATGGTAACAGAGAACGAGAAAGGATTGAAAACAGAATAAGTTTCATTAGGGTTTAGGAAAAGGTACTGTTTTTGCAAATAAATTAGGAATGGTGATAATTATTTAGGATGTGTGGGTCAATTAAGATTATTGTTAAATGAATCACACATGAACTTGTTTTGAATTTTCTTCTTGGTACTAAACAGATTATTTTATTTACATTAGTGTTTTCTGGGGGAACTAAAACAAACCTTGTGGTTTTGTTTAAGTCACACAATAACTTTACAGTTATGCATTTATTTTGTTAATTGTTTTAATGCATTTTAAAAATTTAAAGAGATAGAGGTATTGTTAATTTTGGACAATTATATTGCAAAATGAAACAGGAATCTTATTTTTAGCAGTAAGGATAAAGATCATTACATTATATTACATTTAAACATCGCAAACTTAATAGCATTTAAAGCGTTACTTTAACTTTTTGTTATAGCAATAAATGGAGGTTTAAAATACGTGTCCCAGTTTAGGTTCAAAGTTAGTGTCCCAATATTTGGTAACCCAGTAGAAGAATTTTCAAGGCTCTTTCAGTGTTGAGTTTCCAAAAATGCAGTGATTATGGTTTATCTATTCTGACATTTCCTTAATGGACTTTTTACTGATATGAATGAAGTTTACCACTTGCTGTATAATATGTTGAAAGAAACAACATCAGAAAACTACTTTCTATCAATTTTACAGCATTTGTTACTCATTAGGAATGATTATTATGTACGGTAAGCCAGCTATTTTGCTTTTCATGTTTTCATGGCACATCCCGTTGCTTAGTTAAATGAGCATGCCGTGTAATAAAGGAAATGTGGATTCCCACCTTTCTTTTCTGGTAGAAAGTATCAAAGAAACATTGGAAAATTAATTGCTAACGCTTTTGAGTTGATTCCATTATGAAGGAGAAGATCCCACTGTATTTTTGTGGGAGATCAAACAGACCTTTTGTTTAAATCACCAGAAAACTTTAGGCATGAGGGCTGCTCTGGTGTGCGTAAGCTTAAATTCGAATTATCTTACCCAATCATTAGATAGATTACACCAGTCATTCTCAACTTGTGGTTTGTGGACACCTGAGGGGCCACCATGTTGTGGTAGGTCCACAAAGGCTTGAAGAAATGTTATGTTTCAAATCTTGAATTAAGTCTTTGAGGGTACGTAGCCATGGCCCGTGGCTACAAAAGGTATTTAAAGGGAGTCCGTGATGAAGAAAACATTGAGAACCACTGGATTACATGACTTTTTTTTTCTTTTTTAAGTGTGCCTGTGGATTCTTTATTACAAAAACGGTTGCCTTTTATTTTTCCACAACAGCCCTCAGTATTACAAGATAATAGAAGAATGCATTTCACAGATAGTGTTGAACTGCAGTGGTATGGACCCTGACTTCAAATGTAGAGGAAGATTGGATGTAGACTTCACACATCTTGTGGGTAGGTGCATCTTGCTTTTTTTTTTTTTTTTACTATGTTTTCAATGTTTTTCATCCATCCATCAGTTTATTACAGTCTCTTAGACCAGAGACCATAACAAATTAAAAACGCTCAGTAAGTATACAATTAAAATTTTTAGTATAAAATAATAAATAAATACTAAAATCTATAATAAAATCCAGTCTGTCAATTATATATGATCTAACTAAACTAAAATTACAATCCATAAACTGTGTGGTCCGTTGTTTGGTTCAATGCTAAAAGGGAAAAGACTAAACAGTGCAAAGGGTTTGCCACATTTATTATATAACATAACTATGGTGGAGAAGACACGTGTTTGCGATGAATCCCCAGTGCTTGGTGTGCAGAATCTGGCCACCTGTGCTGTTGTTACGGACCAGGGATGTCAAACTCAAGGCCTGTGGGCTGGATCCAGCCCGTGGGGTGCTTAGATCTGTCCCGCGAGGCCGCCCTGGAAACAGCGAAGGACTGGCCTGCGGTCCCTCTGCCAATGAAAATAAAGTTCGGGAGGGCTGTGCGGGACCCTCCCAGGCCCTGTTTTTGGCCACAACAGGCTCCTGCAGCCTCTGCCAACGAAAACAGAGCTCAGTTTTTGCTGACTGAGCACTCGGGCCGCCACAGGCGCCCTTGATGCAAGTGATATCAAGCTGGCCACACTCACCCTGGCCACGTCTGCCTCCGCCTACAAGGTCAAACCCAACCCTGATGCGGCCCTCAGTGTGATCAGGTTTGACACTCCTCCTATGGACTGTTCATCCTTAAGCAGCCACTGAAGATCGGTAGCATCCGAGCAGCCAGGAGACCTAGCTGTTTTTGGTAGAATATGTTTTTTCCCTAATCTCTGTGTAAAGCAGGGGTGTCCAACCTTGGCAACTTTAAGACTTGTGGACTTCAACTCCCAGAATTCCTCAGCCAGCTGGCTGAGGAATTCTGGGAGTTGAAGTCCAC